GTGGGGCGGGCCAGGCGGGGGCAGGCTGCGCTGCCGCCGGCCTCTCTTCCGCCTGCCCGGTGTTTACTGCCGGGAGAGGCGGACTCTTCTGGCAGTGCTGGCGGCGGTGCCGAGGCGACAGGCACAAGCTGCAGTGCAGGACACTGCAGTTAAACATAAGACAAGACCTTTTTCAGGGGCTGGGGGAGGTTGCCCGGGGAGGCTGCAGGGCCTCTGCCCCCCCGAGCAGGGGGCTGCCCCAGGGGACCCCTCTCAGCTTCACTGGCTCCCAGCGCGCAGGGAAAGATGTCTGCTGGCGTCCCCCCTCCTGTCTCTCCGCCTGGTGTCTTTGTGGTGGCAGAGCCCACGGCAGAAAGTGTCCCCGGGAGGATCTCTGTGCCCTCCCTGCTCAGGTGGAGGGGATGTGTCCCAGGCGGGATGCTCAGAGGGGTCTGTGACCTGCCAGGCGGCTCCTCTCCAAAAACCACTGGGCTCAGTGTGTGCTGCCAACCGGGGTGCCCTGTAGCTGTGGCCTCCGGGCAGGAGGTGAGTCACCCCCGACCCCGGGCACCAGCTCCTGACCTGGCCACAGCTGTGGGGCTCGCAGCCCAGTGGTGACGGCAGCCCTGCCCACCGGGAGCAGCCTTGCTGTGACTCCAGTGTGAAGCAGCCGCTGGTGCCTGAGGAGCGAGGGGATGGAGCCCACTTCCTGGGGGACCCTCGCCGGGCAGGTCCTGGGGCGTGCTGGCAAGCACAGGCCCCCTGCTCCAGATCCCTGCCTGGACGTTGTCCCTCTGACTGGGACAATGGCGATCATCACCGGGGGGGCCAGGTCCCACCAGAAGCCAACCCGGGGCATGGCTCTGGAGCAGGCGCATGGGCACCCGGGGGCTCTGCGCAGCCGCTCCTACGGGTAGTGTCAAGGGGCCCCGCGGCACCCCAATCCCGTTTGTCCTGATTCCTGGGGAGGGAGGTGCAGAGGCCTGAATAGCTGCTTTTGGGATCAACCAGGCGATTTTCCAGCCTGGCATGTCTGCTGAGCGCTCTCCTTGGCCAAGGGCTGAGGATGAATCCCTGATGCACGTGCCACGTGCAAGGCAGGACGCACGTCATG